AAGCGAAAGGGAACATACCTGGATCCTGGATGCTGATGGAGATGGACCGGATCCATTCGGGAAGATGCAGGAAAGTGATAAATGGTTATGGAAGGTTGTGGGAAGTGATGGATGGGGTGGAATGTGACTTGGTGAGGTGGATCGAGGTGAAGTGGGTGTTTTGGGGTTTGGGGTCATGTGAACGACCATTTCCTGCGGTCCGAGCTCACGCGACTGCGGTCAAACTATGCCTGGTCGCGGTCACAAAGACGTGGTCGTGGTCAAAGTAGGCTTGGCTGCGGTCCAAACTCCTGTGACCGCGAGGGCTTAAATGCGGCCTGTTTCTGCTTCTCCTTGGTTACTGCTGGGCCGAGCAGTCGGGAACCATCTTTCTTTTTGGTTTTTTTTCTGGTTTTTTATTTTTTTGGCTTTTTTTTATTTATGAGAAACACCTGAAACTAAGAAAAAGAAAAAGATCAATAGAAAAAGAAATAAAAATCATAAAGAAAACAATACCTAAATAGGTTGCCTCCCATTAAACGCTTTTGGTTTAAGTCGTTTAGCTCGACTTGGTGTAGGACGTGACTTAGTCTAATGAAGAAGACCTTGTCCTAAGACAAGTCATTTTCGAAAATCTCCTTGTTTTGCTTAGCAGGTTCTTCGTCACTCCAAAGTTCTGCTTCAAACTCTTCTGTTGCAGGTCGTTTTCATGCTTTGCTGTTGTACGGGACAGCTTCTGTGAAGACATATTTGTCGATATTAGCAAATGAGATCCTCTGGTTTGGCTAGTCCATGATGGCTCCGGAAGTTCCTAGAAAAGATCATCCGAGAATCACTGGATGTGTTGTGTCTTTTGTTTCGACAATGTAGAAGTCGACAGGAACAATGCAATCTCTTATCCTTAAAGGAATGTCATGGGCTACTCCTTTAGGTGTTGCATTGGAATCATCAGCTAGGCTTATCTTGGTCCTAGTCCTGGGCAGTTGCTTAATACCAAGTCTCAAAGCAATTGCCTTGGACATCATATTGATACAAGCTCCAGAATCACAAAGCACATTGTTAAACATTTCACCTCTAATCAACCAAGAGATGAGAAACTAACCTTGACCTTCGATTTTGTGAAGTGTTCGAACAGGTCTGCCTCTTCTTGCATGATTAAACAAATCTTCTATTTCAGGAATGGATTCCTTGCTCTCACAGAAGTAATGGCCTATCATGAAGTCTTTGCAAGCTCTGGCGAAGGTGATTCCTTCAGGCAAGCTTCGGACTACATCATTGAACTCATCAAGCTTTTCCTTACTGATTTTGTTGGTGTAGTAGCTGCATTCTTCAGGTTTTTGAAAGTGAATTTCATATAAAGTACTTGTAGATGCCTTCCTTAGACTCTTTACAGTATCTGAAAAAGACCAGCAGGCGACGAAGCTTCCAGACGTCATCGAAGCTTAGATGAGCAGGGAGTGTTTTGACGAAGTTGTTGAATTCTATGAGTTTTTCCCTAATGATGTTGCTGGTGATACATTCAACTTCTGGTGTACTGCTTCCTGAGGAGAATCCTGCGTCTGGGTCCTCTACGAACAAGCCATACTCTTCATCTTCAGAGTATTGTTCTTCATCCTCATCTTCACAAGACAAAGCCATGTTGCAGGGTAATGGCTTGTCTTCATCTTCAGATTCTTGAGTGCTGATGGAGTAAATTAGTTGCTGAAAGAGGGGTCTAGCTACTCCAGAAGGTGCACCAGACGAACAACTGCTTGTATGAGACAGATGGAGCTGTCTTGGAACTTTTTGACGGCTGGACGTGACTGCAGGAGACGCGACCGCGGGGAATCGACTGTGGGTCATGGGTAGGCCAAGTACGACCACGAATGGATGCCTCTTGACCGCGGTCAGAGGGGACACGACCGCGGAAGAGTGTCTCCGAGGTGAATTGCTGGAATTGCTTGCTGCTTTGCTTCTTGAATGATCTCCTGGGTCTTCTAGCCTATTGTACTTCCTCTCTGAGCCTAAGTCTTTAATGTGGAGTGCTGAAGTTTGCTCTCTAAGTCCTTGCATGATCTCCTCAACCCTTTCTTCAACTTCATCAAGAGCATAAACAACCTTATCTATGGTTGAGTCAAGCTCTTCGGTTTTGTCAATAACCTTGTATACCTTCTCCGAAACTTCAACCATGAAGTCATAAGACTCGTTCTTAGCTTCGTTGAGGGCATTTCCCACATCGTCGAGCTTGAAATCCAGGTCCATGAACTTGTTCTTAGTGTTTTGAAGTTCATGAGTGTGTTTTTCTTGTTCATCTTCCATGTTATCGAATCTATTAGCGATCATGGCTGCATCTTTGGTTTCTCGTTCCTATATTGATTTTGCCTGGGAAGCAAGGTCATCAATCTTCTCGTTGAAAAGCTTTGATATGCCATCGATTCTTTCATTAAGAGCGACTATAGTAACGAATTGAGCTTCAATGAACTGCTTGATTGCGGCTTCAAGCTGCTCCAATCGATTACTGATCTGGACGTTCTCATCCTGCTGGAGGATTTGGTGAGGTAAGTGGTGCATAGGTGATTTAGAGTTCACCATGGGAAGCATGTAGGGGTTCGTCCAGGAATGCTCAAGAGTTCGTATTCGAGTTCTGAACTGAGTTTAAGAGGTCGCGTATGTATTGCTCCTCTCTGCGTCTGGTGGCTTGAGGAGTGTTCTAAAAACCTCCCTCGTAGTAAGGATTTCTATTTATAGGGTCCATTGCTTCGGGAACTGAAACAAAAAGAACCAAAAATGGAAATAAGCAGAAAAAGGCCTCTAGAGTCGATTTACCAACCTTTCTTAGGGTTTTGCGAAAAAGGAAATGCTTGTCTTCCCTGGCAACGGCGCCAAAAATTTTATGTTTGCGTGCGTGAGGGTTGTCAAGTTTTACCCTAAATGAAATCAATAGCTGCAAGTGCACAGCTGATCTATTGTAGTACTTAGGGATCGAATCCACAGGGAAGGAGGTTTTTTTCTGCAAAAACCTTCGAAAGAAATATGAAGTAAGGAAGTCTAGAACCAGGTGATTTTTGTAGGGGTTTTGGTGGTGTTTTTAAAAAGTATAAACTAATCTTAACGGGAAAATAAGAGAATTAAAATGACCTAATGACTAAACCTAATAACATCGACTAAAAGACAATGAAAACGGCTCAACCTAATTGCTTGAACGAAAATCGGCTAGATTAAGACTCGTCAACATTGACGGCTAAACCAACTGTCTCTCACAACCCTGACTAGTAGGTTTCCACTCTGGCCCTGGAAGGGAAAAGATGCAAATTTTCTTAAGAATCGTCAACATTCACAGTTCGCCCATAGGTAGGTTTCCACTCCTATGGTTGATCTGCTCTTCTCAAACTAGATCTGGCCCCGGATGACTACTTTCGCAACACCAAGTACCTAGATCAGATTGTAGTTCATGACGCTACTCCCATGCATTAAAAATGGGTTTCGGGGTCGGACAGACCACTCTCCCCAGTCGGGACAGATGGGACCGGTGTGAAATGGGTGTTGGTCGCGTGTAGGAATGCTTGCCGGCTGGTTTATGGGACATCTTGCTCTCGCGTAACTTTTGACTGAACCGTTGGATTGCCATTCTATAAAGTTTCCTGGAAAGCTGATAGTTGCATCTTTAAGGTCTCCAAATTTGAACTGGATCAGACGGTGAGAAGGTCTTCATTTGAGGGTGAACTTCTGACGGTTTAACTCTGAGCTAAAATCTGGTTTTCTAGTCATTTTGTTAAGCTTTTCCTAAGTTTCCTGAAAAGAGTCTTGAAAGTACAAATACTAGAAAAACATAATAAAAATACTTGAAAGCAACAAAAACATATAAAAATATTTCGAAACGATCCATAAAAATGGTCAAAATACGGTGTTATCACTTAGGAAAAAGTGTTGCAAATTGGAGAAAAAAAAAAGATTTTCGGCTAACCGTCAAACCATCAGAAGTTGAACCACATAGCATGACCTTCTCACCGTTTGTTGCATCCCAAATGTGGGGCATTAAAGAAAGACCAGCCAGCTTTTCCATTACACTTGACCTTAGGATAATCCAACAATTCAATCAAAAGATACATGTTTATCAAGAAGTCATGTCAAGCAGTCTGAAGAGCCTCCGACCCACGGCCAACAAGCTTCCCGACCAGTCCTGAAGAAGCTCCGCCCATGGCCAACCTGTTTTCATCCCAAGAAGCCCATTTTGCAAGCCTGCTTGATTCCTGTTCGATCTCATCTTCGAGGAAACTCTAAGTATAACGACAAGAGACCAGAAGACCTATAAATATGTGCTTATAGGAACTGTTATTTTGAGTGTGTTCAAAGTGAGCGTCATTATTCTACTTTTGATCCACCAAATAATTTTACTTTTTATTGAACAAAAGGAGATATAGATTTCTCTTGAACCCTCTTTGCTCCTTTCTGATTGCATTTATGCATTCATCTACCATGTTTTTGCTCTGTTCAATTATGTCTGAGTAGTTTAGTACTTAGATTAAAGGATCATTAAAAACAATCAACATATTTGATAGGGATTACATGAGTTACTTGGTCAAATTCTAGATCTGTCTCCTAAGTTTATTTTTATTGTATGAAGTTAGCGTCACAAACTAGCTACTGATTTTCAGGATTGATAAAACCACAAAAGTGCTGTATTTATTAACTAAACTAGCTTTAGAAGAGCAATAGTGTTATAAGATACAAAAGCATACATATAGAACATTGTAAGCGTTGATGAAACTTGATCTTATTGCGAGATCTACTGTGTAGCAAGCATCAAAAGAGGACTTGTTAAGTTGTTAGAGATTAGGTGTATCATGCTACAAAAATAGGCTAGATATAATTTCGTTCCAAGAGTTTGCTAGAATCGAATTTCTTTTTTTTTTTTTTTTTTGTTGAATAGAATGTTAAATTTTATTCAAAGAAAAAAAAGACTTTTTACAAACACTTTAGTTTCTAGTCAATTGTCAAGAAACTTTTAAACTAGAGAAACAATTCAAAAAAAAAAAAAAATTTTAGGAGTTCCTCCTTGTAGCAAACCAGATGCAGAGGCCATCTTCAAAGCGCCTTACACCATTTCTTTTCAGCGTGCTTAGTCTGTTCCTCATTGTGATGTCCAGTCTCTTCAGAATGAGTTCCTTCGGTGTTCTGTTTTCTCCATGCCTGCGTCTGTTTCTTTCGCACCAAATGGTATGAACCGTGGCTTGAAAGATGTACCTCAGGATGAAGGAGACAACAGCATTATACGGAGGTTGTGTGATGCAGGTGATCAACTCCAACCAGTTCGATGTGAAATTTGCTCCCATGAGGTTTCCCACCAGTGCTTCCCAAATTTCTTTTGTGTAAGGACAAGCAAAAAAGAGATGTTCTCTACTTTCAACAGTTTCATCACAGAATGAGCAACTGGTATCAATATCCCCCTTCCACCTTTGCATAAGACTTCCAGTCGTAAGCCTGTTATTGACCGCAAGCCATGCCATAAACGAATATTTGGGAGTCGCTCCCGAGAACCAAATACCTGGGTAAGGATCCCAGGTTGAATTTGATTGTCGTATCTGATCCCCTGTTTCTTTGGCATTAAACTTTGTTTTATAAGTGTTACTTTTCCCTTTCCAAAGAGGTATGTCATCCATGTCTACTACTCTCTCCCTTCGAACTCTTCTGATTTCTTCCTCTATCTGCGACAAGAGCTGGTTTCTATGGTTTCTGCGTCGATCTCTATCCAAGACTGTCCCAAGAGTGGAATTGCCTTGAATTCCGAGATCAATAATGCCTCGCTGACCAAGCTTATCGAACAAACAGCCTAGTTGTGACCAGTTGTCATGCCAAAACGACACCCTCCGACCATTCTTTATAGAAATCCTTTGCTAAGTCTCGGTATTTTAGAATTTTCTTCCAAATCCAAGAACCAAGAGTTGTATTCTTACTCACTGACCAGAAAGAGTTTTTCCTAATGAGATGCCGGTGAACCCAATTTACCCAAGGTGAGTCTTTTGCTGAGAGGATCCTCCATACTAGTTTTAGTACACATACCTTGTTTACCATCTCAAGAGGTTTTATTCCCAGACCACCTTCTTGCTTCGGGGAACAGACAATGGACCAGGATACCTTTGCTTTTTTTCCATTCAATTCCTGCCCAGACCAGAGAAAAGCAGCACAAATATTGTCTAGCTCTTGAATGCAGGCTTTTGGGAGCCTAAAAGCCGCCATCCAAAAGTTTGTAAGACTAAATACCACTGATCGGAGGAGCTGAAGACGACCCCCAAAAGAGAGATGCTTCGCAGACCAAGACTGTATCTGCGATCTGATTTTTTCAACCAGAGGTGTGTAGTCTATTTTGCTCATCTTGCGAGTGAGTAAAGGCAAGCCAAGATACCTCACTGGCAAGTTACCTATCTCAAAAGGAAACTCCCTCAGGATTTCTGCTCTCAAATCGTCCTCAATTCCTGCCATATATACCGTTGACTTCTCAATACTTATGTGAAGGCCTGATTGGGTAGCAAAGGAATTAAACACCTCCAAAGTACCTACTATGGACTGTTTATCCCCTTTAACAAACACCAGCAGATCATCTGCAAAACATAAATGTGTGAGCTCCATATCCTTGCATCCCGGGTAATAACTGATTTTCCTTTCTGATGCAGCTTTGTCTATTTTCTTGGAGAGAACATTCATGCATATCACAAATAAGTAAGGAGATAGAGAGCATCCTTGTCTCAGCTCCCTTGCACTTCCAAAGTAACCAGCGAGTTCACCATTGTGAAGGATGCCGAGGATATACATAATCAGATCCAATGTATGTACTCCTCAGGAAATCCATAGCTCTTAAGGTATTTAGCAAAAAATCCCATTGCACTGAGTCAAAGGCTTTAGATATGTCTATTTTCATAGCACATCTTTAGATCCTCTTTGTGATAGTCCTTGACCAACTCTGTTGCTAGAAGTAGATTCTCCATCAATAATCTATCTTTGACAAAAGCTGACTGATTTTGAGCAATAAACTTAGGGAGAATAATCTTTAACCGGTTTGCAAGAATTTTGGAGATGAGTTTGTAGATCACATTGCAGCATGAGATTGGTCTGTAGTCCTTCATAGTTTGAGCTTGTTTCTTTTTTGGGATTAAGGCTAGAATTGTTGAGTTTACTCCTTTTGGTAGAAACCCCAGCTTGAAAAAAGATTGGACTGCAACTAAGAGATCAGATCCAACAACATCCCATGATTCTCTAAAAAATTCAACTGTATATCCATCTGGAACAGGGTATTTGTCTTTTGGCATAGAGAAGAGGGCTCTCTTGATCTCTGCATCATGAACTTCATGGGTTAATAATGCTTTAGCAGCCTCCTCGCATTCAAAACCTATCAAGTTTTTGAGCTCGTCTATGGGGCATGGGGCATAGTCCTGCGGTTCAATATTTAGGAATTCCTTAAAGTATCTAGCCGCTTCCTCTTTAGTATCTAGACACTGTACGACCATCAGCACAAATAATCTCATTAATTCTATTGCAAGTCTCTCTAGTCTTTACTGCTTTAAAGAAAGTTTTGGTGTTCTGATCTCCAGCCTGCAACCAAAAGAGTTTTGCCCTTTGCTTCAAAAATCTTTCTTCTATATCAGCCAGCTGAATCCATCTTTCATATGCCAGTCTCTCTTCCTCTACAGATTGGTTAGTGGCCGTGGACATTGTGATTTCCTGCAGTTCACATAGCCGCTTATATGCTTCCCTTGTACTAGAATCGAATTTCAAACAGTTTTTAATCATGTTATGAATCCAACATTGCCCGAAGATATACTTGTAGGCTCAACATTTTTTTATCACTAGCTTACATCGATTTTTACTTTATTTTTTCTCCTTTTCCCATTTTGCTTTACGATTTTTGTAACACCAAAAATCCCAAAAAACCTTGTTTGGACTTGTAACCCATTTATTAATTTTCTGTCTAAAGTTTTAGCAGAAAAACGTGTTTTTCTTGTGGATCAACATCCTAAATCTTATAGGAAAAATTGGAAATATAGGACAAAAAAACTAACCTATTGTCCCTTAGGATTTCAATACTAAACATTGTCTCAATAGGATTTATAATAATAAAAAGAGAGGATTACTACACTAATTTTAGAAAGTATCTATATTACTCGTTCGACGCACTTTTATTTTTTTTACAAAACTAACCTAGCATACCCAAAACACCCTTTTCGCCTTTTGTTGAAAAAATTCTAATTACAAAAATGCCATTACTTTTTTAATGCCACGTAGGCAGAAAATAGCGCTGAAAATTTGATAAGTCTACCAGGCTTTGACGGTAGACTTATCAAATTTTGGTCAACGCAAAAATTTTGTCGGTAGAGTTATTAGGACGATGGTAGATTTATTCGAGAGTTGGTAGATTTTACAAATGTTGGTAGACTTATCTTGGTAGAGTAATCTTGGTAGAGTTTTGATGATGAGAGGTAGATTTATTATGTTTCGGTAGATTTGTTGTTATGAATGGCAGACTTGTCAAAAGTTTTGGTAGACTTGTTAAAAAATATGTTGACTTTCTCGCATAGTTGACTTTCTCGCATAGTTGACTTTTTTGGTAGATTTATTGACAATGAAGTAGATTTATTTTCTGAGTTGGTAGACTTATGTCCTTTGGCGGTAGATTTATGTGAAAAAAGTTGTCAATACGTGTGGTAGATATATCTGTTTTATGGTAGAGTTATATATAGTTTGTAGAGTTTTCGCTTTTGTGGTAGATATGTTTTGCTTGTGGTAGATTTACTTCAGTGAAAATTCATTCCGGTGAGTGGTAGATTATAAGTTACATGAGGTAGACTTAAAAACTGTTGGTAGATTTATTTGTTTTGTGGTAGATATGTTTGTTTTGTGGTAGACTTAAATTTAAAATAAATTTCATTCTGGTTTGTGGTAGATTAATAATTACATGAAGTAGACTTACAAAATGTTGGTAGATTTGTTTGTCTGTTTGGTAGAGTTTATGTAATCTGGTAGAGTTATCGAACGTATGGTAGACTTCTTAAAATAATAATGTGGTAGATTAATTAAGTTTGGTATTTACAAAGATAACCTTGATCTGGTAGACATATGACATGTTTATGGTAGACTTGTTTATATGGTAGAGTTATTTTTCATACTTGAGGTAGACTTAGTAGTTAATGTTTGGCTGACATTTGACTTTATGGAGTGAAATTACTTTTTTGTCCTAAAAGAATTGTTCTATCTACGAAAAAACCTACCGTTTGGTAGACTTATGGTTGCAGTGTTGTACGTCTTTCTATTTTCGTCCCTCTGGTAGACTTATGATAACGGTTATGCGAAACCGTTACCAAAGAACCGTTGCATCGATTTAAAGAACTCGAGTCGCTCTCTATAAATACCACAACCGCGACGATTCATTTCCCATCCGGATTTTCCTATGGCAAATCTCGAGTCGCTCCCTTCTGATCTTTTGTGCGAGATATTGTTAAAAATACCTTCAAACTCGTATGCGGATCTTTGTCTTGCAAAAGTTTCGTCGAAAACACTTAACAACATCTCAAATGAAGCGGGTTTTCTTAGGAAAGTTGATTTAATCAACTTTATCGCGCCGTGGAAGTGGGATCAACATGGAAGGGTGGGTGCATTCTTCACACGGTGCTTGGAGGCAGGAAATCCATCCGCACAATTGCGAAGAGGTTTATCGCTGATTTTTTTCGAAAATAGCCTCCAAGCAGGGTTGGATTTCATTAAAATGGCATCAAACAATGGATTTCTCATGGGTAAGTACTGCCACACTATGTTACATCTAACCATCGTTGGCACATCAGAGGTATTCAACTCCGTTAAAGCTCTCTCCCGGGAAGATGCAACGAAAATGAGATTGACTATGGAAAAGATCTTCATGCCTCCGTTCAATTTTCAGAAGCCCGAGGAACTGGTGGAAATGGTTTTCCAGGCTTATAAAAAATCTATAAGTACAAGGATTTGCGGTTGTCTCAAAGTACCAGACATGTGTTGGATGGGAGATGAATACCTGCTCGATACGTATGGGGATAAACTCTGCGAATCCTGCTTCTGGAAATTGGAGTGTGCCAATTTCTGGTGGATAGTACCGTCATTTGCTATGGAATGGCCTCGTTGATTGCATCAATAGTTGTACTTTCATTTTTAATGAAACACTTATGTTTACTTAAGTAGATTTATTTTTATTGTGAAGTAGACTTATATGAAAGTTATTACTATTTATGTTGTGCTAAGTAGATTTATGTGTCTACCATTCGTTCGATTGTAATTGAAATAAGGGAACATGACAAGTCTTTTACAAAGAAGTCTACTACTCGAAAGCTATTAATTATAACAAATCTACCAACAATATAATAGAAGTCTACCATTCGACTTAAGGGAACATTACGTTGTACTCCAAGATTCCTTAGTACTAAACATAAGGAAACTGACTTGTACTTAACATATACGCAATGGCTGCAAACACGAACAGCAACGCCAGCATCAAGTAGTGGTCACCTCTGGTGTTTTGCTCCGTCATCCAAACAAAGTCTCCTTGAAGCCGGAGTATCTCATCTTTCATTTCCCGAATGTCTCCGACCAATTCATTGCATTCCATAGACCTCTCCAATGACTGGAAAAGATTCTCCAAACGCATGAAACGAGGATCAAAAGCTTGATCCCTGCCAAGCACTTGCAATTTCTCCTTATGGTTCCCAAGGTCAATCTTCAACCGTTCCAATTCCTCTGTAACAGCCTCATCCCACCATTTCCAGATATGTTCTCGACTCCCCTACATACATCAGGCCAATCTCATACATTAAGTATCACAATGGTGTGGTTGTGTTGGACTTGATGTGTGGTGTCGAGGGTTGTCAAGTTTTACCCTAATTGAAATCAATAGCCGCAAGTGCACAACTGATCGATTGTAGTACTTAGGGATCGAATCCACAGGGAAGGAGGATCTTTTTCTGCAAAAAGCCTTTGAAATAAGTTAAAGTAAGGAAGTCTAGAACAAAAACGGTTTAGTGGGGGTTTAGTAGTGTGTTTAAAATGTAAAAACGAAATCTTAAAAGAGAATACAAGAATTAAATGACATAATAACTAAACTTAATGAAAATGACTAAAAATGATAAAAACGGATATTCTAATGCTTAAATGAAAATGAACTAAAAAGGAAAGACAATATTGAACTAAAGCTTTAAAGAAAATCGGTGTAAATCAATGGAGAAGAAAGCGTTGGGGTTCAGGGAAGTTTTCTCAGGGGTACGAACGATTCAAAACATTGCTAGAGAGGAAATTTTGTAAGATCTTAGCTTAAACTTTTCGAACTGGAGTCACGGACGTATGAATACGCCACTGTCGTGATCATAGACAACTATCTCTCTCAACCCTGACCAGTAGGTTTCCACTCTGGCCCTGGAAGAGAAGAGATGCATTATGTTTAAGACTCGTCCTAATTCACAAATCGCCCATAGGTAGGTTTCCACTCCTATGTTTGTTTTGCTCTCCCAAACTAGATCTGATACCTGATGAACACTTTCGTGTCACCAAGCATCTGGATCAGACTGTAGTTCATGACGCTACCTTCATGCAGTAAAAACGAATTCAGAAGAAAAAGTTCTAAGATTCGGCTCAAAAGCTCATGGAATCCTCATCGAGCATATAAATCCCCATCGAAAATCCCTTAATCCTAACAATAAAACTACTCAGACATAATAAACGAAATCAAAAGCATGGTATTAAGAAGTATAATAGAAACCGAAATTGAAAAAGAAAGAACAAGGGTTCAACAGAACAAATCTCTCTCTCCCTAAAAGCTAAAGCAAAAACAATAAAAGTATGAAGTAAATAATTTGGTTCTCTAAGGTTGCACGATTTCTAGGGCTCCTAAGACATGTATTTATAGTGCTCAAGACCTCTCTGGACGTCACTTAGGGTTTCTCCAAATATGGGCTTGAGAAATGGGATTTTTGGGCTCGGAGGTTGATGGCCGCGGTCGGGACAAGTGTGACCGCGGTGGATGAGTGGTTTGCCGCGGTCGGGATGCTCCTGACCGCGGGAAATTGCTTGTTGGCCGCGGGTGGAAGTGCTTGCCGGCTGGTTTACGGGATATCTTGCTCTTCGCGTATCTTTTGATTGAACCGTTGGATTGCCAAGCTGTAAAGTGCACTGGAAAGCTGATACTTCCATCTTTAAGGTCTCAAAATTTGAGCTGGATCAGACGGTGAGAAGACCTTCAATCAGGGGTGAACTTCTGACGGTTTGACTCTGAGCTGAAATCTGGTTTTCTATCCATTTTGTTAAGCTTTTCCCTAAGTTACCTGAAAAGAGTCTTGGAACTACAAATACTAGAAAAACGTGATAAAAGTACTTAAAAGCAATTAAAAACATAGAAAAAGTATTTCAAAACGATCCATAAAAGTGGTCAAAATACGGTGTTATCAACTCCCCAGACTTAAACCTTTGTTTGTCCTCAAACAAAGCAAAAGCCTTAACTGGTTAAGTGAAAACAAAAATAGGGAATGCACAAATATCATAGACATGAACTCTTAAACTAGGACCAAAGATAGTGCATCAATCCACAACTTAGTCTAGAAAATTCTCACCAATGAACAAGAGATACTAGTCCACTTTTTCCGTCATGCAAAACTTAAACAATTTAAATCTTGATTTCAGTCAACTAGCTCTCTACATTCATTAAGTTCAATAGTGAGTTCTCATTAAAGACATCATCCAAGGTAGACGGCGTTTGGCATTAAAGGGCTATTTAAGCGGTGGAGTTAAAGTGTTTCGGGTTACCTGAAGATCTGGAGGATGCAAGATAATATGCAAAACAGCAAGAGAGATAAGGACGTGTTGATGACCACAGTTTTCAGTCACTTCTTCTTGCCAAATGTTGTTGCATAATCCTACCTCCTTTGTTGTAAACAGCTCTTCCCCCAGACTTAGATTCTTTCCGGGAATCAGAAAACAATCTCCAAAACTCCATAAATTCGAACTCCAGTTGCCTTGGGACTTAAAATTCGACCTCGCTAGACTCTCTAAGGCTTTTATTTTCTTTCTTTTCTTATTTTCGGATTTTTTTTTTTTTGGTGGAACGGAAATGCCTTTTAAAGAGGGAGAGACTAGAGGACGAGATTGTACCAAAATTTGAGATTTTCCTAAGGCAAACTGAGTTTCCTCTTGTGTTGAATCCTTCCGGGAACTTTCCGGAAAATCGCAGGTCTCTGTCCTTGGTGACTGAAAACTGCGTCGTTCCTCTTTCTCTCCAACGTTTTTGCACTTATCTGCATATATAAGACAATAGAAAACAAGAGTGCATGTGGTTTGAAAGAGGATTGGTTAAGGTGGGGAACTAGCTAAAGATGAACTAGCCATTCAGGATCAACAGAGAGTGGTAAAAGGATAAAAAAGTCCTAAATGTATGATTCGTTTCCCTGGTCTAATGCTTTAATGAGAAAATTAAGTCCAAAATAAGTCCAAATAAAACAGAGCTAGTGTATCCTTTCATCTAAATCGAAATTATTCAAATTCCTCTGGGGTAGTTCGTTTCAAATGTGCTTAGCTACCGCCTAGTCTAGTCCTAAATCATGAATGAGCATGTCACTAGGAACAGTCTAAAAGCACACAGTCAACTATCATTGATTCATGTTCACCATTCCCTTTAAACCGTATTTTGTTTTGAAAACCGATTCTGAAAAACTTTAAGGAAAATGAAAAAAAAATGTAGATAATGCAAGACTCATGAAAGAAAGGTGGTTAGAAAGGGATGAAATCCTCCCCCAAACTTAAATCACACTGTCCTCAGTGTGAAACAAGTCGAGATTGGATGAGAAAAATGCATAGATAATCGAACTGGTAAGGACAAAGAGAACTTACCTGGATCCGGGATGCTGGTGGAGAGGAACCGGATTCATTCGAAGGGGTTTGGGAAGGTGATTAGGTGGTGATGAAGGTGTTGGAGGGGGATGAATGAGGTGGAGGGGGATTGGTGAGGTGAAATGAGGTGAAAGGGGTGGTTTGGGTCGGGTTTGGATCTCAACGACCAAGTGCCGCGGTCAGGGGTCATACGACCGCGGCAACCAAGTGCTTGGCCGCGGTCAGGACTACGCGACCGTGGTCGATGATAGGTTTCCCACGGTCAGAACGTCTGCGACCGCGGGGGCTTATATCGCGGCCTCTTCCTGCTTCTCCTTGGTTCCTGCTGGGCCGAGCAGTCAGGTACCATCCTTCTTTTTGGTCTTTTCGGGTTTTTTTGATTTTTTTTTGACTTTTTTGTTTTATAAGAAACACCTGAAACTAAGAAAAAGAAAAAGATCAAAAGAAAAAGAAAGAAAAATTCTAAAGAAAGCAATACCTAAATGGGTTGCCTCCCATTAAGCGCTTCTGTTTTAAGTCGTTTAGCTCGACTTTTGGTGTTGGACGTGAATTATTCCAATGAAGAAGACCTTGAAGAAGACCTTGTCCTGAGACAAGTCTTTTTCGAGATCTCCTTGCTTTGCTTAGCAGGTTCTTCGTCACTCCAAAGTTCTTCTTCAAACTCTTCTCTTGCAGAACGTTTTCCTGCTTTGCTGTTGTATGGGACAGCTTCTGTGAAGACATCTTTGTCGATATTAGCAAATGAAATCCTCCGGTTTGGCCAGTCCATTATAGCTCCGGAAGTTGCTAGAAAGACCATCCCAGAATCACTGGATATGTTGCATCTCTTGTCTCGACAATGTAGAAGTCGACAGGCACTATGCAATCTCCTATTCTCAAAGGAATTTCATGAGCTATTCCTTGAGGTGTTGCATTAGAATCATCAGCTAGGCTAATCTTTGCTCTAGTCCTGCGCAGGTGTTTAATACCAAGTCTCAAAGCAATTGCCTTGGACATCATGTTAAGACAAGCTCCAGAATCACATAGCACGTTTTTAAACATTTCTCCTCTAATAGAACAAGAGATAAGAAACTGACCTATACCTTCTATTTTATGAAGTGTTCGAACAGGTTTACCTTTTCTTGCATGATTGAACAAGTCTTCTATCTCAGGGATTGATTCTTTTCTCTCACAGAAGTAGTGGCCTATCATAAAGTCCTTGCAAGCTCTGGCAAACGTGATTCCTTCAGGCAAATTTCGAACCACATCATTGAATTCGTCGAGCTTTTCTTTGCTGATTTTGTTGGTGTAGTGGCTGCACTCTTCCGGATTTTTGAGGTGAATCGCATAGACAGCTGCTTCTGGTGTTGTCATGTATCGAGCTCTCATAAAGTATCTATGGATATCCTCTTTAGACTCCTTGCAGTATTTGAAAAAGACTTGCAAACGACCAAGTTTCCAGATTTCATCAAAGCTTAAAATGAGCAGGGAATGACCTGACTATGTTGTTGAACTCTATTAGCTTCTCTCTACTGATGTTGTTGGTGATCCATTGAATTTCTCCTGAGTCGTCTTCTGAGGAATATCCTGTGTTTGGATCTTCTACAAACAACCCATACTCTTCATCTTCAGAGTATTGCTCTTCATACTCATCTTCACAAGACAAAGCCATGTTGCAAGGCCATGACTTGTCCTCTTCTTCAGATCTTTGGGTGCTTATGGAGCAAACCAGTTGTTGATGGAGTGGTTTAGTCATCCCAGGAGGTGTACCAGACGTACAGATGCTTGTATGAGCTGAACGGAACTGTTTTGGAACGTTTTTACGGTTGGCCTTGCTGCAGGTGACGCAACCGCGGGGAAGCGACCAAGGGCCGCGGGCAGGCCTAACATGACCGCGGGGGAGCACTTGTTTGCCGCGGTCGGAGCCAACGC